ATACTACTATTTACTTGTTACTCCCATCTAAACCTCCAGGCATTGAAAAAAGTTATCGTCTATGTCTTGCCTTAAAGACAAGGCAAATTTTCAAGGGGGGAGTATTGATATTGATAGAGTACCGAGATAATGGGTGATTTAGAAATAGAAGTATTATGAATAAATATTATTTTTAATTTATTTTAAATATTTTATATTTAATAATATTGTTTGGATTTTATTGAGCTATCTAGATATTTATCAAGATATCTAGTTATTTATATTTTATTCAATTTTTATTTAATTATCTAGTTATCTAGATTTTATTCATTATTTTATATTTTATTTTGCATTATAAATATGCTTAGTAACTCAAAAGCAAGCATATTATGAATAAAACAAACTTTTGAGGCTTTTGGCCCTTTAAAAATTCTTCTTAGTATGGGTGTTAAGATAAGTATAGAATGAGATTATTGTTTTATATCATCTTGATAGATTTATTCCTTTTATTTTCTTTTATCAGTTTTATATATTAATATTACAAAGCTAGATTCTGATTTCTTATGTCGATAGACATTTATCTTCCTTATTTTTCTCCACCCATCCGAGATCCTATCATAAGTGAAAGGAGCATCTCTTTTTGTTTTTTAGGTTATTTTGGTTTGATAAGAGTTATGCTACTTAGAAGGGATATGTACTCCTCAACAACATATTTTTTCTCTCTTACTAGTTATTAATGTCTTATTCTTAAAATTTCTCCTATACACTTTTTGGAATTATTCTCAAATGGTTTTGGTTAAAAAAAAAATGACTGCACTAAAAGGTTAAAGGGGGCAACTCCTTTTAGATGTTTTTCTTTTCTTTTTATTTTCAATTTCTATTGTTTGGTTTGACTTTTGATATCTTGGTGTTTAATTTATGGCTTTTTTGTTTCAATAAGTTGTCTAGAGTTCTCAACTTTTCTTTTCCTCTTTTGAGCTTTTATTTTTTTCCCCATAATCTCAAGTTCAATTATACAACTAGCTAACAATGTGCTTCAACTAGTTGTCTAGATTTTGACAGACAATTTGGTTGTATCCTCTTATGCATCCCTTACTTCAATTGTTTTTGCTTGAGTTTTGATATCATATATTATGGTTCCTCTATAGGATGCCTTTACTTGGCGTTTGTTAACCTAGGCTTAAAAATCATAGTTTTTTTTTGATTTAGGTGGAAAGAGCATTGTTTTTCTTTTGCTAGATTTTTCTAGCCATTAGGAGGTGGGTTCATTTTCTGTCTTTAGATGGATGCTCTTGAAACATCACAGGGGCCTACCATGTGGATAATTTTCTCATTTCCTTCATAATCTAACCTATTGAATATTAATCTTAATTTGATTCATGGTGAAAGAATTGGGTTTTGAACTATGATTAATCTTGTTTTAGAGGTTTAAAAGCTAGAGATACCAGGCATATATTATAGTTTCAAAATAGTTTTGTTCTCCATTAGTGGCTACAAGATTATTGTAGGACTCTGAGTTTTTTCATATCTCATCCAAGATGTCTAGCTTATTATTGGTGTTTTTTGGTAGTGGGTGGAAAGAGCATGGGTATTATTTCACCAAGTTGCTTTTTGACATCATGTCTTTTTTATGAATTTATGTTGTTTTACTATTCCTTTTTTCATTTGTAATTCTCATGAAACATTGATGGCGTTGGCATTTTAGTTCTTAATAACTGAGGAAGCCTAGTATGTTTTGTTGCTTACTTATTCAACATTTTTGAACTTGTGTTTTTAAGGCAAGCATGAAAGTAACTATTGTGCTGCTTTTTCCATTCATATCTCTGTTTCCCTAAGATTGATTCTATTGTGATGTTCTTGTTTTATTTTTGTTTTGTAAAATTATGCTTATATAATTTCAATTATTTGATATATCCTTGTTTTTTTTATAAAAAAACCCTTGTTTCAGCTTTTCAATTCCTTTATGAGAGTTTTGATACTTTATTAGAGTCGTGTAGGTGCAATTGTTTGACCAATTTTTCAATAGAGTCATGAAGCGTTTGGCAAAAAATTGGTGATTTTTTTCCCTCTTATTGGTTTTATTAGATGCCTCTTTATAACATATGAAATTGATTATATACATTCTAGATTACTCAATCAATAGTTTCTTGTGGTAATTTATCATAGGAATTAAAAGCATTTGTCCTAGTGTTCTCTCCTTGGTTCCATAATGACTAACATTGTTATTTTTAGCTTAATTGTTGTCATGTGTCTTTTTTTTTAAAAAAAAACTTTTGATATCTAGTTGTATAATTGGTGGCTAATTTTTAGCATCTCGATATCAATGTCTTGATAAATTGTTTCCACAGAAAATTTGTTTACATCTTTTTGGTTATGCCTTCCTTTCTATAAACTTCTAGAAACAATTTTGTTTCATAGTAAAATATACAACTGGTCCTTGGTCTTTTATAACATGTTATGGCCAGAAAATTTACAACAAGTCCTTCTGGCCTTTTATATCATGTTACATCCAGAATGTGTGGCTATTAATTGGAGTTATTTGTTATTTTGATGAAAAGCTTTTCATTCTCTCGATTCGTTTGGGTGAGATAGAGTGATTCTTGTGCTTACAACTACTTACAATGGGTCTTGAGATGTAATAAAGATGGATTCACGTTAAAGTTTATAAGAGAAATTGCCCCTACAAGCCAAAAAAATATTACATAACAAGACCCCAAAATTTTTATATATCCCCATTAGAAGATTTTGTTTGCCCCCATCATTTCAAAAAATTCATTTACCTCCTTACAAAAATTTTAATTCTCCCATATAAAAATTTATAATCTAAAAGATTAAAAAATTTAGAGTTAAATTGCATTTTTATCCTTAAAGTTTCTCTTGAGGAGCAATTTTACCCTTATATTAATAAGTGGGGCAATTTTACCCCTAAATTATTATTTGTAGGAGTGCTAGGTATCCTGTAGAAGGGTTTTTTACTTCTCAAAAAAATAATTCAAGAGTAAAATTGCCCCATTTATCAATAAATGGGTAAAATTGCTTATCAAGGAAAAATTTAGAGATAAAAATGCACCTTAACCCAAAAATGTATCCCATCAAACATTAATTTTTTATGTTTTTTTATTTTATGCATTATCTTTAGCATTAATTTTATTATGTTATATCCTTAATAAATATTTAAAATTATTTTTATAAAAATATTAATATTTATTTTTAATATAAATTATACCTCTACCAATTTATTTTTCTAGATCCGTCACTAATATGTAACCTGAAATTTTTACAAAATATTCTGTCTTTCATAATTCAGATTGTATGGCCCTTAATTGAAATATTTAAAATATGAGAGTTGAACATCTTGTTGTCACATGTTTGGATTTTCACATGCAAATATTTGAAGAAAATAACTTCATATACGTTTGTGTTAAATTTTATTGACAAGTGAAAGTTTATATTTGAATAAGATGACTTCATGGTATTAACATGTAAAGGTTATGCGTGGAATATCCTAATGGGTTTAGGCATAGCATGCAAGCTGTTGTTCTGATAGGTTTTGTTCTTCCGCGTACAATGTATAGGTTTTGATAGATACTTGCTTGTAAAAATCTGAACACATATTTGTTAATATATGAACACCTCATTATAAAAAGAGAATGACAATAAAATATCATTGAAATATATAAATAATAATCAAGTCTATCAAAATACCATAATTTATTTGAAGCCTGTGGGTACCTTTTTTGCGATAATAATTTTAGATTAAATGACTAAATTGCCCCTTATTTAAAATAAAAATAATGGGCTTGGCTTCATTTTTTCAATCATCACTTTTATCTAAGCAATAATAATTTTTATTTTGTAAATCATAAAAGTTAAACAAAAAATTATAACTCTCTACATGAAATTTCTTTCATGATCGATAAATAAGTTTTGAAAATAACTAGTCCTGATCACAACTCTTATTTGAACAATTACAACTTTAATTTTATGAATAGCGAAAATTGAATAAGAAATAACAATTTCACATGTGAAATTTATTTTATCATTGAAGTCTAAATTTTAAAAATAATCAATTATAACTTTTATTCTATCAATTACAAGAATTGAATAAAAAACCATAACGTTTCACATGAACCTATATTTTAAACAATGAATAATTTAGTTATTTAACATAAAATTATTAATGTTAGAAAGATATCTAAAGACTTTAAAAGAAAATATAGTATTTTAAAAAACTTAATTATCATTTATATATCTCTATAAAATTTTATTATATTTTTTTATTATAAAATATGTAGCAATAGCTTGCATTTGCAAGGCTATTTCACAAAACTTGTTAGAACATGGTGCACTAAACTTTTTCATGTCATTGTCACGAAGCCTTCTTACTTGCCAATGAAATTGAAAACAACAATATATGAAGTCATCTATTTCTAATGTATTCTCTTCCTCTTTTTTTTGGGAATTTTTTGGACATCTTTTTTATTCTATTCGCCACCGTCTCTGCTATTTTTAGCACCATATTTTTTGTGTGCATTTTCCCCTTCTTCCTCCTCTTGATTACCTTCATCATTCTCTTCTTCTTATTTGCTTGCTTTCTGCCAAGATGAAAATGCAGTGAACTTCAATTGCTCCTCGTTGTCAAAGCTTTGCTAGTTTTCCTTCTCCAAGTGAGGGTTACTTTTATCATTTGTTATAGAAAAAAAATATTTACACTTAAAGCCTTTAAATATGTAGAATAAATTTAGATTCCTTTGGGCCTTATTTGCCATAATTTTATTTAAGGCGGCCTAGTACGATATTCTCCTTATTCATATACTATTACTCTTTAATATTTCATAATATTTTTTATTTTTTCAAAAGTTCAATTAATATTTTGTATTCATACATTATTTTTTAAAAAAAGATATTCACGAAGGTCATGGTATAGGCGTAACATTGTAGAAGCGCAGTTGAGGCTGTTGTTTTGCGGTAAAATCAAATTAATTAGATAACTGGGAACAAAAAACCAAATTAATTATAGAGTTCGTCTTGCAAAGTAAAAGGAGTCAATAGGAGGTATGTAAATACTTCACTTCTCTCCATCCTGTCTACCTCTTCTTCTTCCTCAATTGGGATCTTTGAGGTCGGATTCGGAAAGCCTGCGATACATAAGAAATGGCGAAATCTAGTGTAGACGATGTTGAACTCCGGCGAGCATGTGAAGCTGCAATAGAGGACCCCAAGGAGAACGTCGTCACGGCGATCCGTGTTGCCAAGAGTCATGGGCTCTGGGGAAAGTCTGTCAAGCTGGGCCGTCAAATGGCCAGGCCTAGGGTTCTCGCTCTCTCCAGTACGTAACTGTTCCTTTCCTGCAACCTGCTGCTTTGTTTCTCTGAATTAAATTTACCTATCGCGGTTGAATCTAAGACCATGTTGGTTGTGTTTTAACTGAATTTCGGGATTGCATATTATATGAACGAACAAGACTAAAATGAATGCTCAGAAGACTTAATTTTCTCTTCTTCCGCGCGCCAGCATTTGAACCCCCAAGACTTAGGGTTAAACCTTTTAGGTTCACCACTGAGACCAAATATGCAGTTTTTTTTTTTTTTTACACTTATAGACTTGTATCCTCTGTACAACAATTCATTCTACTTGTTTCTGTCATTTCTTTTTCTTCGAGTCTATGGGAACGGTTTAAATGGAATTTTGTCTTTTGATGATGACTTTTCATCTCAGGTTATCTGTGAGTCCTAAGCTTGGTATCCCACCCTCCCTCTTTTTAGTTTATTCCAATTTCTACATCAGAATCCCCCTTTTTGCATCTACAGAAACCACGACCTACCCTAAACTCTCACTCACTCTGTACTAGTGAGACTCAATTTTTTACATGCGAGAGACTCCTATCCTTTCTTTATAGACATCCCAAGGATGATTCTTGTCAATCAAACTGATGCTCACATCTAAAGGATAAGATAGCTATCACCTTCACCTGCGATTTAAAATTGGACTCTCAATCAAATCTGAGATAAAACCAATCATCCAAAATAATTAGTTCCAATTTATCTAAAATTCAAATTTGAGATCTTTAGTTTATATTTAAGACGCTGACAAATTTATACGATGTTCCTCCCCATTTTTATACGAAAGCTTTTATATGGTCGTTGCCCCAAAGAATGTGACTGTACTGGAAACCTGTAACATTCTGGATTATCTATGTTGACAAGAAATTAATGAATTGGAGTGCAAGTTGGCAATGCTGTAGCATGGTCTTCCCATGGGTAAAGTGGTTTAGTTTGTCATTCTTGAGGTTTGAGTGATTAAACTTATGCAATTTACAGTTTCATCTTGTAAATAATTTGTTATCAGATAATCATGTCGTAAAATCCCCAATATATGAGGTCTTCCAGGAATCTGAAACTGTAATTTGGCAACATTAAAGCATGATTTTCCCAAATATTTGCAGGTTAAAATTTATATATGCTAAAATTTGTATTAGTAGGGTTCTCTTGGCCGAACAAAAAGAGAATAGACTGTGAGAAAAACAGAAGCAGAAATCAATTTTTTTCCTTGGAAACAGTGACTTATCAGCTTTGGAGTTATGGGGAAGGAAGGGAATGCTAATTTTGTTGAAATTGATTGCAAGCATCCTTAGAATACATTCCTTATTGTTTGTTACCTACATAAGAACTTGTTAAATTCTTCTTTTTTTTTTGGGCATACAATTAAGATCTTTTTATTTTGTGCAGTAAATTCTAAAGGTCAGAGAAAAACTGCTTTTCTTCGAGTCTTAAAGTATACGACGGGAGGTGTTCTTGAGGTAATAGTCTCTCATCCTCTCTTTGGAATGAGCTTAATTTTAGTGTCCATGTGGTAGTGAGCTGATGGTCCTATTTCAATTGTTTTCCCCTATTTAATATTTGCTAGTTTTTCTTTGTTTTTGGAGGAGACCAATGAATTCTCCTTTGTATTTTCTCTCTGCTAACAAAGCTACCTATCATCCTGCGGGAAAATTTTTCCCCATCTGTTCTCTTTGGAGCATCTCCAGGAAAAGAACAATATCCTGGGTTATAAGCCCTTCTTTAGTTAAAAAAAAAAAAACTTCTGATGACTATATTGATATTTCGCACTCATCTTATGCTTGTCACTCCCCCTTAAAAAAATAAATAAATATAAAACGTATTAATTTATCTTGGTTTTGCTCGAAGTACTGCATATTTTTTATGGTGCCTTACTGGTGTTCTGTCTGTTTATTTTTAATGTTGTCAGAGATATTTTAATATATTAAATCATGTTAGTATTAGCCTCCTGTAATTGCCCCTGCATGGGGCAAGTACAAGAATGAATTACAACTCTAATTATTAAGCGAATGAATCACAGGTCACAACTCTAATTATTATACGATGTGAATTCTTATACTCCATCACCTATAGCTATGCCATTTTCTGTTTGTCAATAAATCATTCAATGTTTAAACTTAAATGATTTTGTATAAGCTAGCCCCTCTGTCTCAAGTGCTTTGTGCATGAACATACTGACTTCAATAAACCTTTGATTTAACCTGTATATTCTTTTTGGGATGGTAAACTGAACTCTGGACCCTTTGGTCAAAAAGGCTTGATACCATGTCAAACAATCCTTCTATTTAAAGTAAGCCACTGGTGGCCAAAGAATGGCCTTTAAGCATTCCATTTTATTCACGTTAGTTTAAATATTGTGGTGCCCATCTGAATAATTTATAATAATCAGTAAAGTTATGCTTTTCCTATCTTCGTAGCAGAAACAAACAAACCAGAATTGGCTTGGTTGATACTTGACACTACATGTTAACAATTTGGTCCTTTTCCCTCTGAATTTTCTTTGGTTAAAGATACTATCATGTTTTTGTATTCTAAAATTGATTTTTTCCCCTTCTTGCAGCCTGCAAAGATATACAAGCTTAAGCACCTTTCAAAAGTGGAAGTTATAGCAAATGATCCCAGTGGATGTACTTTCACACTGGTAATTGCCATTCTTCCATGCTATAGAGGAACTCTGTTGGTCTAAACATGTTATTTTCAGTTTCTGGCACTGAAGTGATATGAAAAGCAGCCTTTTTCTGGGAGTTCCTTTTTCTTTGCGCCTTTCTATATGATATTCTTTGGGTGATGAATGTATATTTTATAGGGGTTTGATAACATCAGAAGCCAGAGTGTAGCTCCTCCTCAGTGGACAATGCGCAATATTGATGACAGGTTTTATTGTTGAGAAAAAATGCTTAGTTTAATAGTTGATTTTTATATCAGGAGAGAGAGTTTATTGAATTATCTCTATAACTTTCTGTTTTTTCTTTGCAGGAATCGTCTCCTTCTTAGCATCTTGACTATGTCCAAAGATCTTCTAGGTCACCTTCCTAAAGTTGTTGGTATAGATGTTGTGGAGTTGTCTCTCTGGTCTAAGGTGCATGTTTTTGTCCTATTCAGTATAAACTTACAATAAATATGTACCTAGTATTTCTTAATGTTGTATTGTGTGTGGTTTATCTCATCACTCCAAATATATTGCCATTTAGCTTGTAAGGTTTTAAGTCATAATTGCAAGTTATTGTTGTAGATGTTTTTTTTTTCTTGCTAATAATTTTTATAATTGTGAGATAGGCAAATGTTCCCCCAGTTTCAATACAAAGGAGTCCACAAGGTGGTGCTCCTGTCGCATCTGCTGTGACAGAGCCTGAAATGAAAGTCGCTGTTGAAAAGGAGCTTGTCTCACAAGCAGAGGAAGAGGACATAGAGGCTCTCTTGGGAACGTAAGTTTTGTTCTTCAGCTTAAATTGTATTATGGAGTCAAATGTGAGTGAAAAAGAATTGGCAGATGGCTCATTGCAATGAAATGTCATCTTTCCCTCCTCTTTTATACACATTATGGGTCTTAAGAGTCCTCCAGGGTGATTGACATTTTGTAGTTGATATTGAAAGAATGGTGACTTTCAGTCCATATTGTCGCTGAACATAATGTTTGTTACATGTAATAAAATAGGTGTAAATTGCTCTCCTCTTTTCTGGAAGATAGCTTAATTACTCAATTCTGCATTCTTTTATGAAAAATCATACGTCTCTTCCCTAAGACCGTAAGGTACCCTACCACTAAAACAATTTGTCCAAAATACCCCCAAAGATGGTATTTTTTATTGAAAATACAAATTAAATATATATTTCCTATTTTAAGGAATTTGAAAAATAAACAAATTCAACTTATTCTAAGATTTATTAAAATTTTATTTTTTACTGTCCATTTCAAATATTTAAAAATAAATAAATTCAACTTATTTTAAAAAATTTTAGAATTTATTGAACTCTTTTATTAAAAATACATTAAATTTGTATGTTGGTAAGTACAGAAAGAATTAAGGAAAAAGGAAGAGGATGGCATATATTACGAAGTATTGCAAGTTTCTCACTCACAAACTTGTTCTGATAGCCAAAGGAGTATCTTCCTTTGGACTGATGCCTTATTTATAATGAGAAGATAGACATTAAATAAGTCAGAAAATCAACTAAATCTTGAGTGAATTAAAATAAATCTAAATAATGGCCATATTCCCTCAACTAACTACAGTTCACTAGCGTTCCCATTTCCCCCAAGTTCTTTAACCAATTTAGCTGTCGCTCTCCTCTTTTTACGCCTTGAATAAGTCAGTATAGGGTTGGGGTGCTTGTCACATGTTATTGTTGAGTTTGAATATTACTAATTATTGTCTTTGAATGGTTTAGGTTTCCTTAAAAATATATTTTGTGAGTATATTCTTTGTCATTAGTAACTTTTATATTTTTTAAATGATTTTAAATTTTAACAAGTTAATATAAGTCTTTATTTTATAAATTTAAGGGAATTTCAGTCAAAACAGTTTTAATTGCAGGATATTTTTTAGCTTTGGGGAGAAGAGCTGTATAATTTTTCATAATAAAGGAGATGACTGCATTTCTGCCATTTCATAGGAGATGGGGGAATAATCTACTCTAGAGTCCTGCTAGCTGGTCTATATTTTATAGTTGATGTTGACACAGGGATTCCATAGATTGGTAACCAATAGTGAACTCTATTCTTGTGACATATCTGTTGGAAAAGTGTAATCAATTAGTTATGTTGATTGAACACACTTAGCATTCAGGTTTATGTTTTTTCTCTTCACAAATTGAATGGACACTACTAACTACTTAAAATTTTTAAATGTGCAGTTATGTTATTGGTAATGGTGAAGCAGAAGAATTTTCTGAAAGGTTGAAGAGAGAACTCCAGGCTCTTGAAGCGGCAAATGTGCATGCCATTTTAGAAAGTGAACCTATGATAGAAGAGGTATGATTAGCAGAATAAACGGCCTTTCTTTTGCTGGTAAATATTCTTGTTTGTTGCAAGACCCTGTATAGAAATCCCTTTATTGATATGGTCCGTGGCAGCTAAGTTTTCTATTTGAGTTTGGATGGACTTGGCTAAGCCTTTATGTTGCCTAAATTGTGCAATAAGCATTCTAAACACTTTTGACTGATTTTTGCTTGAGCTAACCAATTTACCTGATTTTATCTACTGCTTAGAGCTTCCAACTCATGCCAGTATCGTGAGCAGAAGTATCTCATTATTGTTCTGACCATTAGATCTGTTACTGTAAGATTGTAAAATGATATTTTGTATCCTCACTATTGACTTTGACTTTTGCATGAGATTACCTAGTTAGCCTGATTTTAGCCCTTGTTTGAGGCTTCCAATTAGTGCTGATACTTGAACTGAGACTGTCACTTCAAACCGTTAGAGCTTTCATTCTATGATAAAAAAAAATATGATAATGTTATACAAATTTTGAGGTTACTCATTATTAGCTTTCATGGAAATATTTGAACTTCTTGTCCTATTCATGGTTCATTTATTGATGCCTTCAGGTGTTGCAAGGGCTTGACACAGCAATGAGTTGTGTGGAAGACATGGATGAATGGTTAGGCATTTTCAATGTGAAACTTCGGCACATGAGGGAGGATATTGAATCGGTAATGTCTTGCATGTGTGAAGTTGGGCACGTACTTTGCCCAACAATGTTTGTGATGGCTGTGCCCAAGCAAATCATTGTTCATCTGTTTAGTTTTTTTTTTTTTAACTTTCCCTGTTGAAAGCATGTTCATGCATTAATCATTTTGTCAGTAAGTCAGTGTTGTGTCAAAAGTCTTTGTGGTGTTACTTCATTTGTTTTCTTGGTAGATGACACTGAATTATCTGATAAACTTATTTTTTTCCATGTTTGGTTCCAAGAGAATCTTAAAAAATTAAAATACTAATAAAACTATAAAAGGAGTATCAAAATACGTTAAAAAAGGCTCTGTATCTTGACACTGAATTATCTGCACTTTTTTATGAAAATAGTTTCCATTTCATTTACTATCCATTTGCACCTTTAATTGAGATATACTATTTGGTGCCTTTGATGAACCTTGGGTGTGTCTTTGGAATTGTTTTTGTTGACTAGCTTTAGTGGGTTTGGCACTTTGGCGGGAGTAAATGGACAAAAATTTATGAGTTTGCTATTTGCTTTTTGTGTTGGTCTTTTTTGAAATTGGTTGCTGCTCAATGCATGCGTTGATCCTTTCTCTACCCCCTTTTTTTTGGGGGGGGGGGTTCTCATGCCTATGACAATGGCAATAGATATCTTTCTTTTTATGTCAAGGTCATTATGATGATTGTTTTGGCAAGCAGCTATTTTGTGGTAGTATAAAAGTTATTTCTGCATCAGGGATAAAGATTGGACTACATCATAGATCATCTCTGAGTCCTTATATGTTCAACTTGATCTTAAATGTTTTGACGGAACATATTCAAGGGGAAATTCCGAAATGTATGCTCTTCATGGATGATATAGTTCTTATAACAGATACAAGAGAAGAGGTTAATTGCAAACTTGAGTTATGGAGGAGGACATTGGAGTCGAAAGGTTTTCGTCTAAGTAGAAGTAAGACGGAATATTTATATTGTAAATTTGGTAAAAGACTATTCGACAATAATTTGGAAGTGAAATTGGGAGATCAAATTATACTTCAAGTGAAAAAGTTTAGATATTTGGGAGCCATTATTCAAAATGATGGCGAAATCAGTGGAGATATTTCACGTAGAATTCAAGTTGGGTGGTTTACTTGGAGAAAAGCTAAAGGAGTTATTTGCGATCGTAAGGTGCCTAATAAACTTAAAGGAAAGTTTTATCGCACTGCTATCAGACCGGCAATGTTATGTAGTAATGAATGCTGGGCTCTAACGAGACAACAAGAGCATAAAGTTGGAGTAGCAGAGATGAGAATGTTACGATGGATGTGTGGACATACACGTAAAGAAAAAATTCGAAATGAGCACGTACGCGAAAAAGTGAGGGTGGCACCTATTGAGGAAAAAATGGTAGAAAATCGGTTGAGATGGTTTGGGCATGTACAAAGAAGACCAAGGGAGGCACCAGTGAGAAGAGTGGAACATATAACTTTGAGTCCGATTAAGAGAGGTAGAGGAAGGCCTAAGAGAACACTTTTGGAAGTTATTGAACGCGATCTGTTAATTAATAATATTCCTAAAAGCTTGATAAATGATAGAGCACAATGGCGTCTTGCAATCCATGTAGTCGACCCCACCTAGTGGGATAAAGGCTTGTTGTTGTTGTTGTTGTTGTATTATGAAAGTTATTTCTGCTTTAAATGAGAATTATCTAAATCTTGCAGTTGATATTTTTCTGGTTATGGAATGATCTCTTCTTAATTTGTCACATTACTTTATGTGATTTTTAGATAGAAACTCGCAACAACAATTTGGAAATGCAATCTGTAAATAACAAAGCCCTCATTGAGGAGCTTGATAAGCTTGTTGAGCGACTGCAGGTCCCTTCTGAGGTATTCCTTAAGTGGGTGAATTGAATCATTTTTTGAATTTGACTAACTTACCTTGGTAATTATGTAAGCATTTTCATTGTGTAGTATGCAGCATGTCTGACAGGAGGTTCATTTGATGAGGCAAGAATGATTCAAAATGTTGAAGCATGTGAATGGTTGACTGGTGCCTTGCGCAGTCTTGAAGTGCCTTATCTGGATCCTGCTTATGCCAACATGAGAGCTGTATTTTCTCTAGCTCACTTTTAGTTTTTCTCACAAAATTCAATTTTTGAAGTAGAATTTTAGATTTGAAAACTGACATGTTCATGAGACCTGGCACACATGCATGCATGTATATGGAGTGTGTATTGAGTACGAGTTAATTGGAGTAAGTAATCGCAGGGGTCAAGATTACTGCAAAAACCATTCATGCAAAGATTAAAAAAATGTTTATTACACATCTTATGGCAGTTTGTTCATTATCTAACTATTGATTTGTGATATAATGGTGATTAGTCACTCCTGTCACCTTTCACCTGCAATTAATCTTGGGAGAATTTTGGCATCACGGCCAATAGAGTGCTCTTGCTTTTTGGATACTTTTTATATGTATGGGACCTAATGTTATCTTTTTTAATGGTGGTTCCTTCTACTCCAACAGGTTAAAGAAAAGCGTACGGAACTTGAAAAGTTAAAATCTACCTTTGTTAGGAGAGCTTCAGAGTTCTTGAGAAATTATTTTGCTAGTTTGGTGGATTTCATGATAAGTGATAGAAGTTATTTCTCTCAGGTATTTTTGATTTAAAGTCCTACTAAAATTGCATTGTCTGAAGTCACGGAAATTTAAGTGCATCCCAGCCTGATTGATTTAAACAGCGTGGACAGTTGAAGAGGCCTGATCATGCAGACTTGCGGTACAAATGCAGGACATATGCACGACTTCTGCAGCATTTAAAGGTTAACTTCCAACATCTTGCATTTACATAGTTATTCACTTCTTTTCTTAGCTCTCTCTCTGATGTATACTGCTGTGCACTTGCAGAGTCTGGATAAAAATTGCTTGGGTTCACTGAGGAAAGCTTATTGCAGTTCACTTAACTTGCTTCTTCGCAGGGAGGTCTGAAATTACAAATTAGTCATGCATGTTGTTTGTCTCTTAATTATCTCAGATTAAAGTTCTTGCTAGGAGAAAGACTGTACTCTAAACTGGAATTGATGAATATGCTTGTTGAAAACAATTAGTTAATGTGACTACTTAGATAGCATTAAAGAAAATGAATAAAATGGAGAAAAAAACAATGAGGTGGAAGGGTTATCAAACCAACCAGAGAAAATAGTGTATCTTTCCTGTGCAAAAAGGAACATAAGATAGTGTAACCCGTATAGGGTTTGAGATTTTGCAAAGTTGTGCTATTGGAGATGCTTCAGATTGAAGTTTACTAATGTTGTAAGACCTGGCTAACTGGTCATTGTTTCCTTCATTTTTTTTTTATGTTACCAGAATTCTAGTTGGAGGTTTTATTTGCCGTTCCTTTAATTTGATGCTTCTGTAGAATAGTGTGTGTATAGCATCTGAATTGTTTGCATTCTTCCACAGGCTCGTGAGTTTGCAAATGAGCTTCGTGCTAGCACTAAAGCATCAAGAAATCCAACTGTTTGGCTTGAAGGTTCAACAGGTTCTGGTCAGAATGTAAATGCTGCTGACACTTCTACAGTTTCTGAGGCTTATGCAAAGATGCTCACGATTTTTATCCCGCTTCTGGTGGATGAGGTAGAAGTCCTCAGTATTCATTGATATTCAAAACATAGTTATTATTATTGTATTTAAGGCGTTTTTTCATGTCTGGAATTGCAGAGCTCATTCTTTGCACACTTTATGTGCTTTGAAGTTCCCACGTTAGTTCCTCCAGGTGGCATTGTAAATGGTAATAAAACTGGATATGATGATGATGCCAATGATGATGATCTAGGAATTATGGATATTGATGAGAATGACCGCAAGCCTGGTACATGTGCCATACTTTCTGCAGATAGCCTTTCTTTAAAGTGCATATAAAATATATTGTTCATTGATTTACTCTGGTACAATCATTTTTTCCACAATTTGATAATTTGTTTCATTTTGCAGGTAAAAGTTCCGTTGAGCTTGTGGCTTTAAATGAATCACTCCAGGATTTGCTTGATGGCATCCAAGTATGTGTAGAATTTGCTCTACCCTTTCGAGCTTCTTATGTTTGTGATGTAAAGTATTTGCATCTTCTGATCTTACACAATATTGTTGTTGACTAGAGAAAAAACATTGTTTTTGTCTTTTTCCAGCTGAAGTGTCTTGTTCTGTATCTCTCTCTAAAATATTTTTCTGGATACTAAAACAACTAAATTGTTGTTGAATTGATACTCTGAAGGAAACTGTTATCAACAAATAAACAGTCTGCATTTGCATCCTACAGAGAAAACTTGGAAAGCAAGAGAATAGTGCAAAGTGACAGCTAGACCCATAGCGGAATCTAGCTTCCAGGAATCTGTATCTCTGGCACAAAACATAACCTTTAAAGTGAGAACTAGCAGGTGTTTAGAACACCAATGAAAGACAACGCTTACTCTGTCTATCAGATGTTAATATTATTGATTTTCTTAGACTCTGCATGGGCTATTTGGTGTTACTTGGCAAAACTGATAAACATATTGCTCCATAGGGTTTAGGACTTCTATATAATTTTTAGGGTTGAGGGTCATTTTTGCTGACCCTCAACCTCACCCAAAGGATCGCCAGGCACTCTAAATTTAATTATGGGTCAATTCTGTGCCTCAATGTTGAAGATTTCCTTTCTTATCACCCTGACGTTAAAAAAGCCTAACATTCGCTTGTCATCAGTGAGTCCCACCATTTTTTAATATTTTTAATATTTTTTTATTGGGTTAAGAGTCATTTTTACCCCTCAACTTATACTCAAAGGATCAATGGACACCTTCAACTCAAATATTTTAAATAAAAAAATATTAAAAAATGCAACGTAGGGCCCCTTAATGGTGAGAAGACGGTGAGCTAATGTTAGAGTGACGAGGAAAGGAATCTTTAATGCTGAGGGACAAAATTGACCTGTTGTTGAGTTTAGAATGCCCAATGAGCCTTTGGGTAAAGTTGAGGGCAAAAATGACCCTTAACCCTATAATTTCTGGCTTGTTATTTGGCATATGAAATTACTGATAGTAAACTGCTTTATGTTATTACAGGAAGACTTCTATGCTGTAGTGGATTGGGCATATAAGATTGATCCTTTGCGCTGCATATCAATGCATGGAATAACAGAGCGCTATCTCTCTGGTCAGAAAGCAGATGCAGCAGGGTTTGTTCGCCTTTTGCTTGGTGATCTAGAGTCTAGGATATCCATGCAGTTCAGCCGTGTATGTGGCTAACACTATGAAAATTGCTTTTGCATCAAATGTATGCTGAAGCTAACCCAATTAAGAAAATCTTGCTGCAGTTTGTTGATGAAGCTTGCCATCAAATTGAAAGAAATGAACGCAATGTTCGCCAAATTGGGGTCTTATCCTATATTCCCAGGTGATTTGGATCCCTGACCCTTTTTGCACAAAAAAGGCAAGTTCTTATGTATGATAGACAGGTACTTGGTCTGCATTTTTGTCAAGTTTCAGAGAGAAATATGGACCTACAACTATATTTTCCCTTGATACTGTAGGAGGATCTTAATACCATCTCTTGAGCTCTTGCTCAGAGATTACAGTACTTTCTGATCCTAGTCATATTGGAACTGCATTAGCTACTTCTACTAATTGCTAGTTCTAAAAGGGCTATCCTTTGGCAGTGAAAACAGTTTTTCAACTTTTTGTTGTCGAAGTGATATTATGCTATCGCAGAAAAATAACCTCATTCAAAAGCAATGTTTTTACTTGATGTTTTGATTATCCTGTATTCTCAGACTTGAAGCTCTTAATATTTCTGTTAACAAGTCAATCATTCTCGTCCCTGCTGTGAGTAAATTTCTTTTTTGAGTTTAAACGCTATACATTTTATGTCTACCTCTGTAAGTCTCTAACTTTAGCTGGGTGCTTAGCTGGCCTCAGACCATGTTGCTTTGGTTTTTGACAGTTAAAGTCGTTATATTTACATGCATGCGTCTGATATCTATAAAAAATTTGGTTTTGTTATTGAAACTGTTGTGAGATTCAATTTTTGCAGGAAGTAATGACTGTTAAACTATTTATTTTCTTGTTTGTATGTAATATCTTTATTATTTCTTAAGGATCAATATCATATGTTTTCTTAATTTTTTTTTGGCATAGATTTGCAACCCTTGCAACACGGATGGAGCAGTACATACAGGGCCAGTCTAGGGATTTGGTTGACAAGGCATACACAAAATTTGTGAGTGATCCCCTTAAATAACTGATTTGCTATCAACTATTTGTGGTGATCATGATGGATAGATACACAAAAGGGAAAATATCAATCAAGGACCATTGGAGGAAATTTATATCAGTTAAAAATTACTTGTTGTTAAAACTCGAATGGATACTTATTAATTTAGGTTAGTTTTTTATCAACAAGTATCCATTCAAAATTTAACAACTTATTTTAAATTAATATCAATTTATTCGGGTTTTTTTCCATTTTGATTTAGAAAACAAGTAGTTCTTGATTGATATAAATTCCCTCCATCGATCCTTCATTGCTATTTTCCCTACACAAAATGTCACAGAAAGCATTCTAGTTAAAGGCTTAAAGCAAGACGCAAAATGCTTTAGTGCAAGATAAAGCAAACATTTATCCCTGCCATATCTTCTAGAGTGTTCTTGACGCTACTTCACTTTGTCATACATATGCCACATGCACTCATGCAAATATATTTCTTTTAATGTGTAAACAATTACCGGTTATACAATGGGTGAGGGACTTTTAAAATAAATTGAGTATATCGTGTATAACAAAAAGATCCCTTTGATTGAATTCTCAAAAGTTTTTCCATAAAAGGAAGTAGTGTTCACCTAGGAAGCACGGATATGCCGATTTTGGTGGCGTATCCGTGTCTGATACGTATCGGACACGGACACTCGCTCCGTGCGAGTACGTCCGTGTCCGACAAGTTTTTTTTTTGGGCGACGCGGCTAGACACGGTGGGATACGGCTTTGAGGCGGACACAGCTGCTACGCGGGACGCTGCGTTTTGCGTAAAAAATTTGACTAAATCCTTAATTCACAAACCATTCAGCAGTTCGAACTTTTTCGGATCCTGCAATCTCTCCCCAGTCTCGTTCGTTGCTCTCGTCCCTGTCCGTGCTTTCTTGTTTGTGCCGTCGTGAACCCATCCATTCTCAACTTGCAAGTCGCGTCTTGTTCTGTCCTCTGTGGTTGCTCAGCTCGTCGGTCCAATCGAGGTTCTCGACTTCTCGTCCTTCACTTGTCTCGTCTTCTCTCTTCTCTGCCTTCTTGAGTTTTGTTTCAATATCTCACTCGTCTTCTCTGCCAACTATGATAGCATGAAACTGAAGTATATTTATTATTTTATTATGTTGTTGCTTTTTTTAAAAGTTTGATTATTATTTATATTATTCATTTAATATCTTGCTCTCCATATGCACAGAACCTGTTGCTCTCTGTTTATTTTAAACTTAGTTTGAGTATAATTCTCAATGGTTCTGGTCCTGTCTTATTTTAATTTATGTTTTTTTTCTTTTTTTTAATTAGATATGGCTGCAACTAATAATTTTGAGGGAAGTATTAATTCAACAGCCCGTAAATCTTTTATGAATGAGCTACAAAAAGAATGTCACTGTGGTTACTTTGTATTTGGTTGAATTGTATGCATTTTTAATAGTTGAATTATTATTTATATTTATATAAATTTTTTATATATTCCCGTACCTGCATCCTAAAATTTTTAAAATTTGCCGTATCACCGTATCATGCCGTATCGTATCCGATACTCGTACCCGTATCTGTGCAACCTAGGTGTTCACTTTACTGCTTAATCACACTAAAGAGTCATTTTTGAGTTTAGATTTGATAGTGTTTAAGCACCTGGTGAAACCTGATGGGCCATTTTAATTGTTTACTGCTAGTAATAAGGAGTCATTTGTTTTCAAGTGATAAACTCTTTCGTTTCATTATACCTTTTTTTGTTCTTGTTTTCATGTTTTTCTGATACAAGATGCAATAATCCATATCGGTACATTGTTTGTTGGTGTGAATTTTGCTTTCCAGGTTAGCATAATGTTTGCAACTTTGGAAAAAATTGCACAAACAGATCCAAAGTATGCAGATATTTTTCTTTTAGAGAACTATGCAGCATTTCAAAATAGGTGAATGCCTATCTTTCTGACCTTGCTAGAGGAAGTTGTATCTATTCCTTCTTTTATGTTGATCTTGAAAGGAAGACACTGACTTTTACACGCTCTTTTGATTTTGCTCAGTTTGTATGATCTTGCCAATGTTGTATCGACTTTGGCTAAGTTTTACCATCAGGCTAGTGAAGCCTATGAACAAGCTTGCGCACGCCATATTAGTATGATTATTTATTATGTAAGTGATTTTCTTTCTTTTTCTGGTCATTTTGTCAAACACTACAACATATGTAGTATGTTGGACTCACTTAGCCTCCTCCTTTCTTCCTATTTTTCCTTGGGAAGCAATTTGAACGTCTTTTCCAGTTTTCTAAAAGGATTGAGGACTTATTGTATACGGTTGCCCCTGAAGAGGTTAGTGGTTATTGCTGTGTATAATTCTTTTATGGATCCGGAATTCTAAGACAACTGGTTGCTATCTTAGTTTTCACGTGTGGGAACTAAATAGAAAACCAAGCGTCACATTACTATTCTGGACATTTAACTTCGTATGTTCACAATTGCATAATATTCTCTTTCATTTCCAGATTCCTTTCCAGCTTGGTTTGTCAAAGATGGATCTACGAAAGGTGTTAAAATCAAGTTTATCTGGGGTAAGCAAACACATCTTTCAGAAGGGATTTTCATGGGCCAAACTTAACTTGTCAGTTGTCTTCTCTTTCCTATTCAGGTTGACAAGTCCATTGCTGCAATGTATAAGAAATTGCAGAAGAACTTGACTTCGGAGGAACTGTTACCTTCCCTGTGGGATAAATGCAAGGTAGGCTTGCTTAATTGAAGTTGGTTGAAAACTATCTCTTATTCTATTTAAAAGAAAATGTCAAACTAATGCAATTGAGATCTCTAACTTAAAAATATTACTTTTAAAGCTCTGTTTTTGAAGGTTTGAATGAATAGTTTGGCAGTCTGGTTGAAATATGTGATGTTAAAACTTAAAAATAGGTGAAAAGAAAATAAAATTGAAAATTGACGGGAGGATAAAGAACTTTGTTATATTTTGAGGATGTCTGAATGGTGTAGTACATAATTGAATTACGGTTATGAAAAAAATAAGGCAAAAGGAATTTTTAATATGAATAAATTTCATAATCAACCGGTTTTGATTAGAATATCGCCTGCAGAGGTGCCCAAACTTTATGACACATGTAAAAAACTAAAGTAGCAAGAGTGATTAAGAAAACTAGATGAAGCATTTATACTAGCTGGGAAAGTAAGAAAATATAACGATGCTCGCACATCTTTCATTTACAAACCTGCACACATGGTTTATCTGTGCAGGTTTGTGGATGGAAATATTATGCAAGAGAACATGTAGGTTGATATTGTGTGTGAAGAGGAATGGTTTCTGATGTAGTTACCCCCAAAATTATTGCAGAAAGAGTTTCTCGATAAGTACGAAAATTTTGCCCAGATTGTTGCTAAGATTTACCCCACAGAAACGATGCCAACTGTTGCAGAGATGAAGGGCATTTTGGCTTCCATGTAAAGTTTTCTGTTCTCTCTATTATTGAGGTTAATCATTCTTTTTTACTGCCATGGTATGTAATTATATTGATTCAATTACTTGTTTTAATGATTTGAAAGGACCCCCCACTTGTTTTAACGCGAATTTGATATGCGGGTCTCATTGTTTTGATTGTGTCTTGCATACATTATATTCAGAGCAACCGATATTAATCATGTATAACGCAGTAAAAGAAAAGATAAAAAAAAATAAAATTTGAATTAGTGATGCAGAAGTAATGTGTACTCTGCTGATGTTTGAAGATGTGTAATCTACCCTGGGCATTTTGCTTCTCTGAAAGACGCTATCAAGGAAGCTTTGGGAGAGAGAAATGCAAGCTGAAGATGTCAGGATAGCTCCAGAAAAACAAACAAGATCGCTGCCTGTGCATTTGATTAAATTCCTAGTTTCCTGCTCACTCTCAATTAGAAGAAATGCACAGCTTCTAAGTAGTCAATACTGAGAAAGGTTCTGAAAATTCTACCTTTACGTAACTTTGATCCAGAAATCTTGACCCTTTTTCTTCGAATATCCCTAAAAAAAGATGACACTTAAGCCGACAGCAGGAATGAGAGGCAGGACATATGTCTGTGGTAAAGAAGAATCAATTTTAGAGAAGATTAGCCAACAAGTGTAGGTGCGGGCTTCGACGATGAGAACGTGCCCTGATCAAAGCCTTGGTGACGGCCTGTGGAGTGAACGTGCCCTTCGTTCGCTATCGCTGTCTTTTCCCGACTGAGGGATGTTAATTTTTCTCAGAAAGGAAAAGGTACGGGCAGAAGTTCATATTTATTTCAACCATCGGCTTCGTGATGCACAGATCCTTGTTACCGGTAGCCAAGTCAAAAATCGGCCATCCATTGTGGCCTGCACGCATACAACATTAATCATCAAAAGTATGAAAGTTATGTAGGTGCACTATTTATGAACGGTGAATGTGGATAGTATCATTCGCATCGAATTCTATAGAGTCAAACAAGGAAATGATCCTCGGTAAAATTACCTTTCCATTAAATTCGTATATGTTCAACATTCTGGCAGGAGTTTATGTCTGGTCAAAGGAAACTGAAAATGGTAGAAACAGGAATAGGCCCCGTTTAGTTCTCCCAAAGTAAATTGGGAGAGAGGGAGGAAGGAAAGGGAAAGTATGCTCCCAAAAATGTTTGGTTGACTATGGAAATGAGAGGAGAGGTGTTTGACGGGAAAGAATGTTTCATTTGTATTAGAGGCAGAAAAGAAAGAAGAATAAGAATGTAAATTATCCAAAATTCCCTTCATCTAACAAAATAACATGATTATTTTTAAGTTTTTGACAGTAAAATATGTTAAAAAAATCTTTATCATCAAAATTTATTATTTTAATAAATTAGGCACATGATAATTTTAGTTTTCGGTAATAAAAGTTAAAACGATAATGCTTATTTAACAAAATTCATTTTTTAATTAAAATTAGTTAAATAATTAACATATGAAAGCAACTGTGGACAAAAAGCACCATCAATTCACTTGGCAATGAGGACGTCAGATGACACTTCTACCATTGGCGATGCCCTGATTAAAATAAATTAACAAGAATAGTTTTTCATTAGGGGAAAAAACAAAGAGATGATGCCAAAAAAGGAGAAAAAAAAAAACAGAAGAAGAAGAAGAAGCTTCCAGGTTATTAACCGTTCTTTCTCATCTCTTTGCCATCGCTGAATGCTTAAAAGGGGAATAGGGAAATTATGTACATGTTTTGAGATCCCAAGCATCATATTCATACCCTCGGTTAAAATTTAGAGAAATTGTTGGATAAAAAAAAATTGGAGAAATTGTTAAGAAGGATCAAATAGTAAAATTATTTGGATAAAAGGGCCAATTGACTTGAACTATCTTGGCAATTGACTCGAACGATCTTGGTATTTTTGCTTAAACAACTTCATCATGGGTCATTTTTAATAATTTCCCACTAAAATTTCCTCGTTATTATCGCCGGAGTGTCGTCGATCCCGTCACTTTGCTAACCTCTCTCAGATTGCTCCGTCACCCACAGGCCTCAGCCCCTGCCCTCGCCGAGATTCGTCTATATTCAGTTGCAGGTGCTATTAAGCTATATGACCTTCTTGCTCTCTAATTCTTCTCTCGCATTTCCTTCTCTTACTCACACGAAACTACCACCCCGCAAGACGCGGAAGCAGGTCTCATATATCCCTGCATTCCATGCCCAGCGGAAGAGGTGAGTTGCTTAATCTATTATCGCTATTTGCTCAATCTTCTTCCTTGCCTTGACTGTAATCATGAAATTGGGCAGCTGCGAGCTCATCGATCTGCACCACAAGCAAATTCCGTATAAAGTGGCGTGGTCATGGCAGAAGGAGCTGGTCAGGGAAAAGAAGGCGCAGATAGGAGGTGGAGAATGTACGGACACGCTCATTGTTCTGCAACACCCACCAGTTTATACATTAGGGACTGGCAGTTCCGAAGACAACTTCAAGTTTGACATTGATAATGCCCCCTTTGATATCTATAGAACTGAACGAGGAGGAGAAGTTACATACCACGGCCCTGGCCAGGTTTTTGCTCAAAATTGCCTGTTGCGTCGTGTTGAAATGAATTGATAGAAAAAACTGCATATTAAGATTTAAGAACCTGGATGTTTTACACGAATCCTAATTTGGTGTTGCGTTGCAGCTTGTAATGTACCCCATTATCAATCTCCGAAATCACAAGATGGATCTTCATTGGTACCTCAGGAGCTTGGAGGAAATCGTCATCCGCGTTCTTTCTTCAACATTTTCAATAAAGGCTTCACGTATTGAAGGTTTAACTGGGGTCTGGGTTGGTTAGTGTCTCAATCCTTTTCGCTGATGTGGAACAAGTCCACTTTGAATATTAATTCCTCGATTTAATTTCATCCCTCCATTATATTCTGTCTCGCCAAAATTCTCTAACTGCCAGCAAAAACATCGGGCCACATGCCCATCAGGTCAGAAAATATTTCATTTTATTGCATCATTTTTTTTCCCGGCTGAACTAACACTTGCAGGCTTGAAACCTTACATAAGCCGAAGATTCTAGTTTCATATATCATGACCCTTGAATTTGAAAGGATTCAATTATGCTTACCATTGGGACTATTTTTAGCATATTCTCATGAAAGTATGTTGCAGGAAACCAGAAAGTGGCAGCAGTAGGGATCCGAGTATCTCAGTGGATAACCTATCATGGCTTAGCCCTCAATGTCACCACCGATTTGACTCCTTTCAATTGGATTGTCCCCTGCGGAATACGCGATCGTCAAGTCGGAAGTATCAAGGAGTTGCTGAAGGAACTCGGCTCGACAGCAGAATTGCTTCATTTAGATGACGCCACTCTCATTTACATCACTCACAAATCTTTGGTTAAAGAGTTCTCACATGTATTTGAGCTTGAGTGCCTTCATAAAACAATTTCCGTGCCAGGATCATATGAAGGGAGGACTCTGAACTGACTGGATTCGATGATTATCTTTGTAGTAAAATTTCGACTGATCAGCCAAGTTAGATTTAGACATTTCAGATTTAAAATCTTCCTTTGTAACTTTTTAAACGGTAATTTTTTAAAAAAAATGACAATATTTTTAAATTCTATATTTATTAAAATTAAAACATGTTTAAAATATAATGAAATTTGAACCATCTAAAAATTAACCTGAACGCTCTGTTTAAAGGTTCCATGGCACCTCCTTGAACATAGACCTGTCAAGAATTATTATGTTTAAAGGTTTGATTCTCTAATTTCCCCTTCATCTTTAAATAGGCTTCCAAAATCCAAAGAGCATCTCTATGACAACCACAGGCTTTTCTTTTCATTTTGCACAATAAGCGTGACCGTTTGATATATGTGAAAATCTTGACCCATTCAAAATTTAAGACACTGCGATAACACTACTATTTTATACTCATGTTGATGCTGATACTAAAGTCATGAAGAACACAAAACTAACAAAATATTGAAGTAGCCACACCTCTTCTACCAATCATAAAGACATAAACTCAAGAGGCACCATCCTGATCATAGGTGCCGAAGACTCTCCAATTTCCAATTTCCTACATATATCAAACAAGATCCAAAGAAACATACACAGGAATGCTCTCCCCATGGAAGGTCAGAAAATTCTCAGCTACAAGCTACCACCCCTATTACTAGGAAAGTCGCGACCATTGCAAACAATTTGTTGAATTAAGGCTGTGAAAGTAGTCCGAAAGCCTGGTAAAATTCAGGAGACTTAGGCCGCCCTGCCATTGAATACGTCAGCCACTGAACAAAATCAACAGCTTTCATCAGTTGATGCAACCTATGCTCCTGGCATATATCAGTTCCAAATGTTACGCCATTGACTAACTTTTGAAATCAAGTCTATTTTCAAATGCAATGGTGATTAGATGCCAGCAAGATGACCCACACTTGTCCAAATATCTCTAAGTGCCAATTGAACAGCACACGCAATTGAAAAAAGGAGCTACTACAACCAGAGATAATGCTAGGCCAGCCAGGTATGAATGCAAGAACAGATTTGACCAAAGTGGTTATGCTCGCGAGAGATAACAATTTCCCTTTCCAAGTTGATACAGCTTTCTTTTTGAGTTTTTAGAAGTCGTTTAGACTTTTCTTCTAGGGAAAAATTTAGAGGAGGCGTGGTTGGGAGCTGTAAGCCTCCAAACTTCATTTTCTTTTCTTCTCGTACTGCATTTTCCTAACCCCCTTTTTCCTCCTACTTTTACTACTTTTTTTCAGCCACAAGCCACTAATTCATCTTTGTAACTGTCAAAATCCTGATGCTGCAATTAGAGTCCAGGGATTAATATGACAGACTTGATTTAGTTTTCTTCTTCATTTCATCTATTTTGTCCTTAGTTTTTTTTTCCCTATTTTTCTGCATTTTACCGATTTGATCGTTAGAGTTGAAATTTGGTTTGTAATTGTTGATTTGGAGCTCGTGGATGACTTATTCATTAATCTAGCATCTAAGGAACGAAATGCATGAGCTGGACCAATTGGTGTTGCTCTGTTTTCTATGTGCCTTTAAAAAATCTAAATTGTGAGTATTATTGGGTTGATGTTAATTTGTGATTTCAAATGGCATTGGTTCTAACAATATCTTATTTCTGGGATGATTATGTGAGGAATTTTCCGTAGAAACAGGTAAGAGGATTTTCGGATTAGATATTGATTTTTTGGAAGAGGCTGAGGGCAATTACGAGTTGGTGGTTAATCTTAACTAGTCACATCCACTATAGCAATCACTTGTGGCGTTAATTATTAGTCAGAAAATTTTGATGTCTACGTTGACTAGTGAATTTAATTTCTATAAAAATCCCCGTTTTTGAATGTTTTATTTGTTTAAATTGTTCATTTAATTTCCTAATTTGATTGTTAAGCAATTAGTTCTTTAAGAAACGACTTAAATTGCTTTACACTGCAATCTAATTATTTTGTTTAATTCTTCGTGATTCAGCGTTTCACGATCATATATCAAGGCGATGGGGACTATTTTTTAATATAATTGTTGAATATCTAACATTATTATGTTGAATTTAGTTTCAATCTAAAGGAGATTATTTGGCAATGTTAAGGCTGAATTCAAGTATTGTGACATCTAATTTTTGAGTGGACTAAGTTTTATTTATATTTATTAGTGAGATAGCAGTTGTCATAATCGGGGAGATTAAAACAGTTGCCGGGCACTATGCAAGGCTTGTGTTGGAGCAACGGAACCACCATGTCAAGTTACGTGACGTTAACAAATATACTAAAGGGAAAGAGTGGTGGGTATTTATTCTGACGGGGATAGTTTTGAAATGCTATTCAATTTTTCTACTACGGTAAAAAGGGTGGTGGACTCTGATGTGTTTTTTTCGACTTGATTTGATTTGATATGCTGGCAGTGTCGGGTTTTGTTTTTAAAAGGGATGTGATCGGGAGAGCAAATCAATGAGCCCTATCCCTTGTTTCCGACATTGTTGCCGGAGTTCTTATTTTTTCAACGGTGGCAGCGCAACTAGCTTCTTCTTCCCGATTTATTTTGGGTTAGGGTTAGTGACGGTGATTTTTTTTTTTTGGAATTAGGACTTGGAAAAATATAAGGATTTCTAGAGAGTTTTTATATTAAAAAAGAACTTTAAAATCTAAAATTTCACCACATTCTTACATATCTATGAGAATAAAATTTTGTTAGAAAATATCAAAATATTTATAAAATTTTATGGATGCATCAACAAGCATTCATTTAATTTTGATATAAAATCGTAAGTAATTAACAATAACCCATTTAAAAATGAGTAAGTTGCAAAAATAAATAATGCATGTTCAATTGTATAAGTATAGGTCTTGCATAAGTAAGCATCCATTTGGAATGTGATAAGTAATTTTACCTGATTAATCACAACCAATTCAGATTTAACAAGTGATTATAACTAATAACACAGTTTTAATTATATAAGTATTGGTCTTGTATATATAAGTATCTATTTAAATTTTAACAATTAATTATACATAATTAAAAATAACCCATTAAATTTTATTAAGCTTTAAGGGTAATTATATTTTTTTCTTATAAAATCTTATTTCCATATAGGAACTAAAATAGTGCGGCCTTTGATGAAAACTTTCTTGAGGTCCTTAGATGACATTTTTCCCTAGAATGTTGTGCGAGATTGGCTTTTTGTATTTTGTGTTCTAGTTTATATTATATAATCTGTGTTTCTCGGCCAATTGGCAGAAAATGATAAAAATTAGAAAAAATATAATCATTAGTCCCTATAATTTTATTAAATCTCACATTTAGTCTCTATAATTTTTTTATTGTTTTTAATTCTTATAAAAATTAAAAATGGTGAAAACACTGAATTATAGGAACTTGAATAATAAACATCACATAATCTTATTAAAATTATAATGACTGAAAATATTGAAACACTACAACAAAAATTGCACTTTGTAAAAAGTTATATTTTTGCTCCGACAAAAATTTGTGCTTGGAATTGTAGTGAATTTTCAAATTCGATTAAATCCAAAATGTAAGTTTTTTGTTTTTTTAAGACTTATAGTGTGATTCTCCCAAAAAGAAAATTTGATAAACCTATAGAAATTAATAATGGTGTGTTTCCTAAAAATTATCGACTAATAACACACAAACCCCGCTCTCTGACCTTCGCAGACACGGCCTACTAATTTGAAAGTTCCGTAAGTAGATAAGTGCCAAGCGATGATACCTTTCAACTAACAAAATCCAAACCAAAGTCATTATTCCGACCGCAGGGGATTTGATCGTACGTACAACAGTTCATTGGTTAACAAAACATTCTTTCACATGTATATTACAAAATTCAATTTGTAATATCAACATGTGAAAGAATGTTTTGTTAACCAATGCAATTCCTCTTTTCAAACTGTTGTACGTACGATCAAAGGATAGTGGAAAAGGGGGCTCCATATTTAATATTTTATTTAAGAAAATTGAATTTTGGATGCCGTCAAAGTAGTTGAATGTTTTTGGACATGTGTAAGTTTTTAAAATTGCAAATTACAGAGGATGTGGTCGGAGGTCGTGTGTGTGTGTGTGTGTGTGTGTGTGTGTGTGTGTGTGTGTGTGTGTGTGTGTGTGTGTGTGTGTGTGTGTGTGTGTGATTATATGGGCGTTGATTTAAGGGGGGAAAACTACGTGAAGCATATTTCCTTTAATCTGTATTAGAAGACACGTTTTAAAGAAATATAGTTCTTATTATAAATTACAAAGTAGTGTATTGATTAATTTTTTTTACATCACCTCTGTTTAAAGGTTGATGTAATTTTTTATAACTTGTTAAGATGTAATTCATGATTAAGGGTGTTTAAAATTGTATTTATTTTGATCAACCCATATCTATCTTGATTATATTAATACGGGTCTATCTCAACCAACAAAAAATTGAGACTTGACATTTGTGAAGACTGTCCCATCCTCATATCATATATATATATATATATATATAATTCTTTTATTATATGTATCAATTATTATGTTATTTTTATTGTTTATTTGTTTATATTTTCTATTTATAAATTTTTTATTTACTTTTTTTAATACTTGAATAGTAAACACCTCTACCTTATCTCATAATTATTAAAATTGATTTGAGGAATTAAAAACACAAACCTAGATTACTGCCATTCAAGTAATCTAATAAATTTATTTTTAAAATGTATGTATGGTTGTTGCTACCTATTATGATATGAATTTATAATCCAAAATTTAAATATGAGTTTATAACTATTATGAGCTTATAGTTTAATTTGAGTTTGTAATATGAACTGATGATCTGATTTGATGATTAAATTTGAATTTATGCACATTTTTTGTTTCATTCGTATATGTTTGTTAATGGGTATTTTGTTAAAACTTAATTCACATTATGAAAAAAAAATGATCGCCGCACACCTCTTAGAAATATGTTGAAAACAATAAAAAGAGATCTTAAAGTTAAAGTTATAACTTCAACACCTCAGATATAAGCAAGGGTTGTTAAAGTAATTATTAGGACGTCTCAATCCTGTCCTAACTTCTACTAGAATGGAACAGCTTATGGGATGGGATACAAGACAAAACTTGAGCCCAATCATTTTTAAAGACAAGATATAGGATAAGGGTTGAACACCCCTAATTTTAAATATGATCTCTTTTAAGTTTTAATTTTAAATTTGTAATCGTAAGGTGCATAATAAATTTTAAAAAAAGTTTTATCATATTACTATCAGACCGACTATGTTATATAGTAGTGAAAGCTTTAAGGAGACAGCAAGAGCATAAAGTTGGAGTAACAGAAATGAGAATGTTATGATGGATGTGCGGACATACACATAAAGATAAAATTCGAAATGAGCACATATATAAAAAAGTGAGGGTAGCATCTATTGAGAAAAAAATAATAGAAAATCGTTCGAAATGGTTTGAGCATGTATAAAGAAGACCATGAGAGGCACAAGTGAAAAAAATGAAATATATAACTTTGAGCCTTGTTAAGAGAAATAGAGGAAGACCTAAGAGAATACTCTTAAAAGTTGTTGAACGTGATCTTTTAATTAATAATATTTTTAAAAACTTAATAAATGATAGAACATAATAATATTTTATAATTTATGTAGTCGAGCTCACTTAATGAGATAAAAGTTTGTTATTATTGTTGTTGTTGTAAGTTCTAACGAAGCGATTGAGGATGTTTTATAATAAGACACGTGAGAGCAGAGGGAGGTACATAATTGGATGGAGGATAAGAGCATAGAATAATGGTGGGGGCGCTGAGGACGGAGCTGAGGACCATCATTAGACTTTGGCTGAGAAATTATGGACGGAGGGCTTCCATTTCGCCGCTGAAATAATTGAAGCACCTCTTTTGTTCCGTTTATCATAATATATCTTCGACAATTGAGGGTTATGTTTCTTTGGAAGGATGGGCCCACGGCCCACAATATTTCCCTCACATGTTCCATTCATTTTTCTTAACCGGCCACTCGGCAGCCTACACCACCTGTCACTTCAGGCACCTTCAAAGTTCAAACAACATCTTTATTTTTTCCCCATTTTTGAAGAATTGCATTTCCTAGTTACACTAGCATCTACCTCATAGTATGGCATAGTGTGTGGTGCTTCATTATTTTAATTTGGCAAAGCTCTCAAACGGAGGAATGCGTACAGGGCCACATCATGTACAAAAGTCGAATTAGTCAAAACACGGAAATATTGGAAAATGCAGCGTCACGGTCAAAGGCTATGCGGTCAACTAGACCGACTTTTCCGTGAGGAAAAGTAAAGTCCATCCCACTCTTCTCCAGTTCGCACGACGGCTGAAGCAGCAAATTAAACTACGAGATCCTTTTAAACATTTCGCGTCATTCTTTTGTTTGTTCAAACGCGCTTCCTTAATTTATTAGAGTTCAGACTTTAGAGCATTATTATATACTATACCCGAAGAAATGCCGCACGAGGGAAATTTTGAAACGCTCTAGTTCCGAAAACGACATTCCCTGGTGGCACGAACATGGACCCGGCACTATCATCATTTTTTTAATTTTCTTTTACATCCAACAAGCATACAATTAATGCACGCATTCCACGGCCCCCCGTCCAGCTTCAATAATCTATCCCACTGTCAGCTGCCTCCTTTTGTGAATATAAAGTCCACCACACTCTCCAAACGTCTCCAACAAACCTTCATTCCCTCTTCATCCTTATCCCTCTGCTCTACTCTGCTCTCCTCCAATGGCCTCCACCATCTCTTCTCCTTTTCTCCAACTGCAATTTCCATTGACCAGAAAATCGCCCAACCGTTCCACTCCCCCATTTTTTGTTCGTCCTGTCACTAGAGCCTCCGTCTCCGAGAGACCATCCTTGGCCGTACCGCCAGTAGCGCCTGCAGAGCTTCCCGTCCAGAAAATCCCTGGTGATTATGGTCTTCCTCTTATTGGACCCGTCAAAGACCGTCTTGATTATTTCTATAACCAGGGCCGCGACGAGTACTTCAAATCACGCATCCAGAAGTACCAGTCAACAGTTTTCCGCACCAACATGCCGCCCGGACCCTTCATCTCTCCCAACCCGCGCGTCGTCGCCTTACTTGACGGAAAAAGCTTCCCCGTGCTCTTCGACGTCTCCAAGGTCGAGAAGAAAGACGTGTTCACTGGCACTTTCATGCCTTCCACGGAGCTCACCGGAGGTTACCGAGTTCTCTCCTACCTCGATCCCTCCGAGCCCGGGCACGAGCAGCTCAAGCGCCTCATGTTCTTCCTCCTCAAATCTTGTCGTGACAAGGTCATTCCTGAGTTCCATTCTAGCTACGCCCAGCTCTTCGACACGCTCGAGAACGAGCTTGCCGCGAATGGAAAAGCTAGCTTCGGCGATGCCAACGATCAGGCTGCTTTTAACTTTCTGGCTCGATCCCTCTACGGGACCAACCCGGCCAATACCAAACTCGGGCTAGACGGCCCAAAGATAGTCCAGAAATGGGTGCTCTTCCAGCTCAGTCCTATTCTCATTCTGGGCCTCCCGAAGCCCATTGAAGATGGCATATTCCACACCTTTCGTCTCCCTCCAGCCCTGGTCAAATCAGATTACCGGAGGCTGTACGATTTCTTCTACGAGTCCTCCGGTTCCGTGCTGGACGAAGCGGAGCGTTTGGGGGTGTCCAGAGAAGAAGCCTGCCACAACCTATTGTTCGCGACGTGCTTCAATTCTTTCGGTGGAATGAAGATATTCTTCCCGAACATGCTGAAGTGGATCGGGCGGGCAGGGGTGAAACTTCACACGGAGTTGGCGAAGGAGATCAGAACGGCGGTGAGGTCGAACGGGGGAGAAGTGACGATGAGGGCGATGGAGATGATGCCGCTGATGAAGTCGGTAGTGTACGAAGCATTCAGAATAGAACCGCCAGTAGCGTTGCAGTACGGGAAAGCAAAGAGAGATCTGGTGATCGAAAGCCACGAGAAGAGGTTCAAAGTGAAGGAAGGGGAAATGTTGTTCGGGTACCAGCCATTCGCAACGAAGGATCCGAAGATATTCGAGAGAGCGGAGGAATTCGTGGGTGACAGGTTCGTCGGGGAGGGCGAGGAGTTGCTGAAGCACGTACTATGGTCAAACGGGCCAGAGAATCAAGGTCCGACGGTAGATAACAAGCAGTGCGCGGGAAAGGATTTCGTGATGTTGGTGTCGAGACTGTTGGTGGTGGAGCTGTTTCTTCGGTATGATTCGTTTGAGATTCAAGTCGGATCCTCGCCGCTGGGTTCTTCCGTCACGCTCACCTCTCTCAAGACTGCAAGCTTTTGAGCAACTTTTCCGCCTGATTTTGGAATCAATGGGATTATTGTTTATCATGTGCCTTTCATTCCAAGAGTGGGAAAAGCTATAGAAGACAATGACAGGTAAAGAGCCAGGCGGGAAGAGAATCAGCTTTGGCCTGGGAGGAGGGGCCAGCATGTTATTATTGTATTATTACACAGGATTTTACTTTTCATTTTTTGATTATTGTTGAATATCTTATGAAAGTTGACACTACAGGGTCGACGCCCTAAGGTGCTTCTTCTTCTTCTTCTGACTTCTTTGAAGCAATCTAACATTTTAGCTGAGTAGGATTTGTATGGTAAGATCTTTTAATTAGGCCGGTCCATGATTATTAGTTGTGAAGAGGCAACGCAATCCAAATTGAATATGCTAAAAGGAAGACGACTTGAAAATGAAGTGAAGAATTACTGGGACGGTACCCTCACATCCAAACTTGAGGGTTACTGGAAAACACAGTTGGGCCACACTTTATCTTAATTAGAAGTAGGAAAAACTTCGTCGGCAAGATGTTGTTATGGTCATGAAGACAAACAAACTCAACACCTAAAGCGTGGACCCTTCTCTTTGATTCTTCTCAGTGGACCTTCTCCTTATATAGAAGATCATCAGATGCATCTTCTTCGGATGACTTACAAGAGGCCGTTGCATGTATACCTAGGAGCGTTGGATGAATGAATGGTAAGAGGACGAAGAGGCACAAAGGATTAACAATATTTGGGACGGTACTGTCATATCCGTGAGAGGGGGAAAAAGCTGAGATGGAGAAGGAGTGAAGCACGCTTGTGGTTTGCGGGGGGGAGTGGGGGGGCCTCTAGGTTTGCACTTTTAGTTGCCCTTTCATCATTATCATCTAAGTATCAATATAATTAATATTAGAAAAAATTAATTTACAAGTTATCATAGTTTTTCATGATTTTGGATTATGTTTTTATAATTTATTTTATTTTAATTAAGCTTTTATAATTTGATGATTAAATATGGAGTAAATTGGCTCAATGACCATGAAAAATATAGTTCTTATAAATTATAAATGAAATTTTTGAATATTTTTTAATATGACCCATTCACAAAATCATTTAGAGATGATTTTTTTATTATATTATTAAAATGATTTGTATAAACTAGTTCACGAATATATCACTTGTAACTAATTAATTGATTTTAATTTTTAACTAATTGAATCACATCTTGGCACACACGTTTATCATATTTTTTCCCTTTTTACAATTGTTCCTTCCCATTTTTGGTGGGTGAAACAATCAAGATGATATTCACAGATTGCTTTTTTGTTGTCCTAACAAGTGTAATATTTTGTAAGAGATGTCCTAATATGAGTGATTCAATTTTGTGTCTCTACAAATGAGTTTCGTTGCTAGGCTTCCTTGAGTGAAAATGAATGTGAACCCAAAACTTTTATTGTAGAGAGGTATTTGATTCTCCTGATAAACTAAAATGTCCATAATTTTTTCAGACTAATTTTTATCTATTTTGGACAAATGACTATGTTTTTTTTCATGTTTCTTATCTGCGATTTCTTATCTACAATAGTATACTAGTAATGTACAATTGCATATCACTAATAAACTATATCAGTAAAAACTTATCAACAATATTTAATCTTATAGATATGAAAATGCTTAATCTCATCATTTCTTTTCTTTTTATTTTGAAAGAGAGTCAAATGAAGCTCTCTTCGGTCTTCGAGCATTTGAAAGAAGAAGGTTACATTATTTGCAAAGAGGGTAGTTTTGTCATATAAAGCTCGACTAAATATTAAAATGGTCATAATGTAAATATAACAAATGTTAGGCTGTTTATTGGATTTGATTATATAAATTGGGCTATATATGCAAAAGCTCCTTAAATATGTTGGTCTCTAATTGTTAAAATTCTTTAATTTTCTCTTTTAAAAAATAAAATTAAGAGCTTCTATTTGTTTATTAATTTCACAATTTTTATAATTCAAAATTTCTATAATTAAGTTATGTTTTCTAAATAACTTTTATATATATTAAATTTTTATAAAAAAATTAATAAAAATATAAGTATTGTATTAAATCAATTTTTTTGCTAAAAGTATTTTTTTATAAATTTTAAAAGTCTTTATTTTGAAAAAGTCAATATTTTTAACTTTCAGGAACTAATATATCTAGTAGATCAAATTATAAAAATTTGATTAAAATAAAATAAATTATAAAAATTTAATTTAAAATTGAAAAAAATGGAAGGATCTAAAAATTAATTTTTTAATATAATTGCAATTTAATTTGGAGCTCGGCATTCAAAAAGTTAGGCCCCGCTATTTTCCTAGGGTGTGGCCCAATATAGCATTTTGAGTTCAAGGTTTTAGCTTTGTCATGAATGCTTTTTTTTTTTTTAATATAAGGTCACGACAAAAATATCATGAAAAAGATTAAAATTAAGTCATATCAGAAGTTAAAATGCTTTTGTAATTTATGAAAGCGTCATTAAATAAAGTAGTATTAAAATATTTGCTTGATACCTTGTGAGCTAAAAGATCAGCATAACGATTTACTTCTTTGTAGACATGTTCTACAATAACTTTTTACTTCCTCATAATGAGATTTTTAATGCTTTTTATTATTGCTGAGAGTGAATGGCTCTAAATGAAGCTATCATTAATGAGGGATATAACCTCCATTGAACCAAAACAAACTTTAATTTTTGAAATTTTAATATTTTAACAAATGTTTATCCCTTTTAAAATTTTTATAAGTACAACAATTGTACTGTGTTGGTAACTAAGGCTTTTAAAAAATCATTTGATCCACTTATCCTTGCTATGAATGCTTCAAGCTTGGAGTTCGCATCTAGTTGAATTATTATTGACATGACAAAGAGACAGATGTCGAATGGTTAACATGTGGACGCTGTTTTATTTAACATGAGTTACAGTTTGACGGCATAAACTTAATAAAAGATCAATGCTAACCTTCCTTTATAATAATCCATTTTAAATTATCAACTATTTTTAAATAAAATTTAACATATTAATAAATTTTATTAAATACACCTAACCACTTTATCTTTTTAAAATAAAAATATAAACTTTTAAAAATATTTATAATTTAATATATTGAAAAGAAAAGAGATAAAATTAATTACAGAGGGAGAAAAAATAATATTAAAATTGATGCATTTAATAAAACCTCAATCTATTTAAAATATCTTATATTTTAAAATAAAAAAACTTTTTTAAAAATATTCAATAATTTGAGAGGGACGGAGTATCATACCCACGGTGACTGTTTCTTGCCATTGTACAAACATTCTCCTATTTCATCAGAAATGATGCGTGCGTCCAAAAACCACAGAACCACCTCTGTCTTGCCTACCCCCTTACGTCTTTTGTGCACACTTCATTTTCTAATTAACCATCACCTTTAAGGAGTCATTATTTCAACATTTTGGTGCAGTAAATGAAAAGAAGTTGAAGGATGATAACTTCCTCTCTAATTACTTGTAATCTTTGAGAAGATTTAATTGAATTTATATATATAATATGATTACAAAACAAAATTACTTACAACATATAAAAATACATATTTTCTCTTTGTTGAAAAAAATACAAACTTTGCAAGCCGCTTTTGGAGCCCAACCAATCTAGAAAAGCCCAATTTCTGTACGAGTTCTATTATTGATTTAGAAAATTGTAATTTCTACATCAATGATCAGTTCAACTACACTTGCGCTATAAATAATCTAAAAAAGTTGATTTTGCATTAACATAAAAAAATCTTTAATGCAGCGTGTATATTAAATTCGAATGAAAATAATTGAAATTATTCCTCAATTAAAAATATTTCCAGCGACCAGTACTAAAAGGAAGCACAGGGAGCATATGCAAGCAGACAAATCGAACTGTGAAGGAGGAAGGAGGGAAACTAATACTGGCATTCCTTTCTTTTTAAAAAAGGAAACAAATAATCCGCTCGTATTCATTACTCAAATTGTTTCAAAAAAATTGATTAATCCTAATAATTATGTTTAAAATTTAAAATATAATTCTAAATTAACATACCCTTGTTACTAATTCTTAATTTATTTTTCTAATTTAATGTCATTGTCATTTGATGAAGGGAAATTTTTAAGAAATATATCATAAATATTCCTTAAAATTGTTATTTTGTTTATAAAGATACAAGGAACACCCGTATTAAGTTTTGTTCATTTTTAAAGAGGAAAGGAACATATAATATTTAAGATGAATAAGCGGTACCTTTTCAAAGGCAGACGACGAGCGACGAGCAGAGTGTGATGTGGTGAATTAAAGTGCGATATAATAACTTACCCCCCCCCCCCCCAAAAAAAAAAAAAAAGTGCGATATAGTGAAGTAATAATAAAAAACGCCGCACCCAGTCCTTCCAGAATTGCAAACATAATCACAACTCAGGTTGGTGCTTCTGCCGTGAATCTGTTTCCGCCCCCACGTATACCTGAGACGAAGATATACTATTTGTCGCAGGTAAGCACACACGCGCATCCCCATGTCTTTTTTCAAATTTGATTTTTCTTCCAAAACAAAGTCGAATTAACAAGTAAACTTAAAATAAATATATCACGAAGACCAGCAATTTTCATAGGCATATCACATATGTACTTTTTCCTCTCAGTAATTTCTTTCTTAAAAAATAAAAATAAAAGAAAGAGTAATTAACACACAAACCATAGTGGATGGATCGAATTTATCTACTGCCCTGGATATGCTGGCATATAGAAGAACCTTTCGGAGCAATTCCAAGTACGTCAACATACAATTCAACCTTTCCCACGTACTGTGTGCGTGTATATATATCATGCAAGGCAACCGATGACACACAGTGATTTATATGTACTCTTGCTATCTACGCAAGGCAATCGAGCATGGAGGAGAAGAAAGAGGAGAACCCGACGGTAGAAGTGCGGTACCGCGGAGTTCGGCGGCGGCCGTGGGGGAAGTTTGCAGCGGAGATAAGAGACCCGACGAAGCAAGGGGCAAGGCTGTGGCTGGGGACATTTGAAACAGCTGAAGAGGCGGCAAGAGCTTATGACAGAGCTGCTTACAACTTCAGGGGTCATCTTGCAGTTCTTAATTTTCCCCGAGAATACAATCTTCCTTCTCCTCCGCCCTATCAGCCATTTTCTTCATATCCTGCTCGCGGAGGTGATCACACTGCCACTTCCTCAACTGCTGGGCAGCGCGTCCAGGAGGAAGTTGTTGAGTTTGAGTGCTTGGACGATAAGATACTGGAAGAGCTTCTTGAATCTCATGAGAAGAACAAAGGAAACTGAGTATTACTACTTTCTTTTAACTGAAATCATTAATGAATTTAGAATTCCAGAATAAAAAAATAATGGAACAAAGGAAGCGTTAAAATTAACACACACACACATTGTGTTTCTCTGTGGTCATGAGAGTTGAAGACTATGGAGGCATTAGGCCTGTGTCAATGGTAATTAACCATTTGTCGTGAGTTCATTCCAAATTCAAGTATACCCTTCAAGGAGGGTTCTTTCTTCACACCCTAAAATCAATTTTTCTTACGAGTACCTTTTGCATTGTCCATTGTTCGAACGACTAGTTTTTGGTATTTCCCAGCACCACCATTGCATCTGCAGACAAATTGCTCCTGATTCCACTCCCTTCACCATGCTCTCTAATTAAGTTCACAAAATATAACAGTACAATATAGCCGGGGGAATATCAAACTCTTTGTACAAGTCTAGAGGATGCATGTATGACTTGCTCATGACTTAATTGAACCGAGGAATAATTATCAACCAGTTTTATGCAGAGTCTAAAATAAAAATCAACGAGTCTGTTTATTAGTTTTATTTTTAACATGGCATTCCAAAAAAAAAAAAAAACTCAGCTTATCGTCAACCAAAAATACAAATTGTTGCAAGTGTCAGCACCTTGTTGATCTGCCATCAATAATTTAGTTGATTTAAATAATGTATATAATTTTTAAAAGAACAGAAATGCATTAATGCATTTTACCCAAAAACAAAAAACAAAAAGAAGAGAGCGTGCAGAAATGCAATCTGTGTCCGGTGGTCTCCCGGGTCGAGTGATATATGGTATTCTTAGGCATGGCGGTCCTGGTTTTGCTCTAGGCCAAGCAATCCAACAGCGTCATACAAAGCTATCATTTTCTTTATTCTGTTATTTTGTTGACAATAATTCCTGTGTTGCATGCACCCTTGTTCCCATAATGTGATTGTGGAGGAATCGGGGAATAGATATTGGTGAGCTAATGACGACGGAGAGACCTGACGCCATGGCTTTCCACGCCAACACCATGCCCCGCCCCATCAACATGCATTCCGACTCCGAAGACGACTACGCCGCTCGCGAGAGTAGCGCCTCTGCCGCCAGCCACGGCCACTTCGACTCCGGCCGTATCAGTGGAGAGGGATCCCCCATGATGATGTCACCTTGGAATCAGACCACCATGCCTCCCTTTGCCAGCTCTTCCTGGTCCACTGACGACGAAAACGTCCCACAGAACAGTCTCATCGGCTCCCTTGTTCGTGAAGAAGGCCATATCTATTCCTTAGCTGCTTCCGGTGACCTCCTCTACACCGGTTCCGACAGCAAGAACATTCGCGTCTGGAAGAACCTTCAGGAGTTCAGCGGCTTCAAATCAAACAGCGGGCTGGTCAAAGCGATCATCATCTCCGACAGGAAAATTTTCTCGGGCCACCAGGACGGTAAGATTCGCGTCTGGAAAGTCTCCCCCAAGAATCCCAGCGTTCACAAGCGCGCCGGCACCTTACCTTCCCTCAAAGACATTTTCAAGAGCTCCATCAAGCCCAGCAATTACGTGGAGGTGAAAAAGAATCGAACCGCACTATGGATCAAGCACTGCGACGCCGTTTCGTGCCTGTGCTTGAGCACGGATAAGACGATTCTGTATTCGGCTTCGTGGGACCGGACCATAAAGGTATGGAGGCTATCCGATTGCAAGTGCATGGAATCGATCAGCGCCCACGACGACGCGGTGAACTCGGTGGCGTGCGGGTCGGACGGAATGGTGTTCTCAGGATCCGCGGACGGAACGGTGAAGGCGTGGCGGAGAGAGCAAAAAGGAAAGGGGACGAAGCACGTGGCGGCGCAGACGCTGCTGGAGCAAGAATTTGCGGTGACGTCATTAGCGGTGGACCCCACGGGGAGCATAGTGTACGCAGGGTCGTCGGACGGGATAGTGAATTTCTGGAATAGGGAGAAGCAGTACTCGCACGGAGGGGTGATGAAGGGGCACAAGCTAGGAGTGCTGTGCATGACGGCGGCTGGGAACTTTGTGTTCAGCGGGTCAGCGGACAAGACGATATGCGTGTGGAGGAGAGAGGGCGATATCCACACGTGCTTATCGGTGCTGACGGGGCACGATGGGCCGGTGAAATGCTTGGCGGTGATGGAGGACAAGGAAGCGTCGGCGAAAGGAGATAAACGGTGGGTGGTGTACAGTGGGAGTCTGGATAAATCGGTCAAGGTTTGGAGCATTTCGGGACAGAGCCTGGCAGCAGCGCAGCAGCTCCCTGATTTCGACTCCATCCCGTCCGACGGCAGCTTCTCTTCCTCCATCCGACCCACCAACAAAAGGTAATTTCTTCAGCTCCATTATTTTTCCACGCCCGCCTGCTGGTTTTCAGGTCATGGTTGGGGGATGCACCCCAATTTATACATGCCGCCAAAAGTTTGTACTTCTAACATTATATGCAGAAAATTAGCTTCTGTGAAGAATGTCGGAATCCAATTCATTTTTCATTCTATGACTGCGCATCTGATATAATCATTTGTATGTATGTCAAACCTCAGGTGTAATTCTTTTGCTTTCAATTCGTGGGTCAATTGATGAACAGGCCTTTTCTTTATTTACAGGGAAGGGGAAAAAAAAGAACGTCTATAGTTTATACCGCATTATATCCGTACTAAGAATCTAAGTGACCGCGGCCTTTAAATTTCTTTCTTTCTATATTCGTCATATCCGGCTATTACCTAATATTCATATTGAAGTTCCCATCCAAATACGTGTGTGCATGGGTGTAGTCACATACGAGTACATCGTTCATGGCCATTCATTCATCTAAGGAAACTATAGCTGGGAAGAAAGACTACATATCACCTCTAACAAGACTCGTCGCAACAGATTTGTCAATGTACAAATAGCAGCCAGATTTTGTGTGGTTTTTTTTTTTTTTTGTGGGGTGGCGCCCCGGGGGGGGGGGGGAAGCGTTGGCATCTCCAAACACGCATTTAAGCATATAGTGATAAATACAATGCGAAAAGGATCTGGTATTGCGTTGCAACTTGTGATGAGCTTGGACCTGCAGAGATATTCAGGCGTCCCATACAGAACATAATGTTTTCAAGTGCCCAAATTGCCTTCGTATATGTATTAAAACTTGTGTGCGGGGATCTGGGTCGAGGCCCGGCGAACTTTATCAATGTGAGAGCCTACGAGAATGGCTCCTTGTACCTTCAGGTTGAGTATGGGACGTCAGTCCACTTAAATGGCCACTTCTGTTACCAACGGAGTTCAGGTCCAAGCCAATAGGACGACTTGGATCGCCCCCTTCCAGCATTCTGAGGATCTACAATAAACAAAAGCATTGCCAGTTCATAATTTGTCTCAGGGTAAAGCAGATTTTTCCCTCATTTTTTCGTGAGAAGTTCTACTCCATGTTCTTGGAACCAGATTTCATTGAGAATTTAAACGCTCAGACCTACCTTCGACATTGGGGGTCTGACATCAGGATCTAAACGCAGACACAAGGAAGCAGCTCGGGCCATTGCTTGTAACTGAAGATCAAATTCTTGTGACGCCTCAAACTCCAAGCATGGATTCAGAAGTTGTAGGTTTTCTAAAATATGATTGGATTCTAACATGCGCATTGGATGAAAGAATTCGGAAAGAAACGAGGGTCCATTGTTATGTTCCAACTCACTAATTCTTCGACCTGTTATTAACTCTAACAAGACAATTCCAAATGCATACACATCTACTTTACATGTAAGATTTCCAGCATCCAAATACTCCGGCGCAAGATACCTGGGCTTGTTCGAAAAAAAGGAATGACATTAGAATCAAAATATAAACAAATGGTAGCTTGATAGCACGAACAGAAAAGTACCCCGAAGTTCCAATGATTCGATCATCAGTATTTATGTTCCATTCCGACTGCCACCTTGCAAGGCCAAAATCCGCCACCTAAATTTGTTGAAAATGATTAGATTTACGAGGTTCATTCGAATATAATTCTCGTTCTGTAATATAGTGATCGCAAGTTTTGGCCAAAGCAATGAGCCGATTGTAAGCAGACTCTATCCATATGGTAAAAGAGCTCACGCCATCATTTCTGAAAGCAAACTTGTGCATTTATGTTGATTTTCTTTATCAGACTCTTACAACAAGGTAATTGAGGGCATGAGTCTAACATAAAAAGAAGTTTCAGGGTAAGAAATTTGGGATTATTGTTTCGGAACCACAAGATTGCGAAAAAAACAGAGGCATGAAGATGAACCAGAGAAATTACCACAGGTTCAAAATCATGGGTTAAGAGGATATTCCTGGGTCGAAAGTCTCCGTGCACTATACAGCCCACTCTACAATCTTCATGAAGGTAGCGTAGGCCCCGTGCAGCTCCTATTGCTATCTTTAAGCGCGAGTTCCAATCCAGAGCGCATCTGTTCGTACCTGCAAATATACAATACATAAGAAAACTTTGATTCGAGCATTAAATTGTCGAAGAGAACATGATTATATAGAAACTGAAAGGCTCCCAAATTGATGAGGGTCCCTAACAAAAATTTGGATTTGGTAAGCTGATATTTCGGTGATTAACTTAGAAGGAAGCTAGTGCAAACCATGCAGATAGAGCTCGAAGGATCCATTGCATATGTACTCATAGACTAATATCATCATATCGCCTTCGACGCAGAATCCTATCAACAGCACAACATTTCTGTGTTGCGCGCAGCTCAATACTCGCACCTCCCTACAGAAATCAAGATCTGCTTGAGAGCCAATAAACTTAAACTGTTTCACTGCAACGACCTGGCCATCTCGTAGCACTCCCTTATGAACTATCCCAAATCCTCCTTCAGCCAAAAAATTCAAATCTGAAAACATATCAGTGGCTTCCTCTATTTCTTTGTAAGGGAAGCGTCTAGGAGGTTTTCCAAAAGCTGGTGCTTTGTTTTGACACTCTGAACAAAGGGGAGGAGGCACGGAGGAAGTTCTGACTGCTGGAACGGTATCCCTGATGCCTGATTTTACAACATAATT